TACAGAGAAGACAACCTAAATGTATTCCCTGCAGATAACATGTCTTTTTCCATCCTTGCCTTTCTTTTCACCTGCCCAGCTATGTGTGTAGGAGGAGGTGTATTTATTCTACATGATTGAGATAATTTTATAAGTAAGGTTTCATATTCCTGTTAACATTCCTTATCTTTTGTCTAGGGTGTGTGTGTGTGTATGTGTATGTGTATACTCAACATGACTGAGCTAATTATGTAATAAAATTTTATATGAGGTGTGTCACTGATATACTTCGGGCCCTAAGACAATAACCATCGCGGCTGTTTCTCATGGTTCTGTGGGCGGGCCGATGCTTCCTCTGTTGGTTGGATCTGGGTTGTCATGTGGACGGCTGGAGGTCCAGGGTGGCCTCAGCCTCGTGCTGGTGGGCCGTGCTGAGGGACGGGGCCCTGTGAGTGTTCTCGTTCTCCCACGCGCTAGAACAGCTCTCTCCGTGGTGTTTTTAGCCCAGGGAGCCAGGGAGGGGCAAGCACAGGCCACGACATCTCCGAAACTGTGCTAAGATGCTGCTGCCACATTCTCCTAATTCATACAGGTCACAAGGCCACCCTGGACTTCAGGACAGGAAAATGCAGTCTAGCCCTTCCTGGGAAAAGACGGGAATTGCCAAGGGTGTGGCCATTCAAAGTGAAGGTCCACAGGAGGCCATTGCTGAAGCTTTCTAGCCTACTCTAAATCTTTTTTTTTTTTTTTTTTTAAATGTATTTGGTGCAGGGTCACACTGTGCAACTCAGATTCATAGTGATCCTCCTGTTTTTGCCTGCCCAGTGCTGGGATTACAGGCATGTGCCAACACACCCACTCTCAGTGGCTGGCTTAGCATACCTGGGGGTGGGGGCAGGGCTGGCGCAGCACACGATGCCGGGGATCAAACCCTGGGTCCTGCACTTGTGTAAGCAGGCCCTTATTCTGCCGAGCTATCTCACCAGCTCCAATTGTCTGAATCTTGAATGCATATTTCATCACTTCTTCACATTATTGAGCCTATTTGTAGATCTAATATGTAGAACATGCTTATTTCATTTTAACTTGGTGGAGATGGAGAGTGTGACCTGTTTTTATGTAAAGCCACAATAAGCATCCATAGTGCTCTCTAGCTGTTTAAAGAGATATTATTCATTCAAAGAGTATAAACATTTTAAGGCACATGACACGTATAAAATTCCTTTTGAGAAGATCATGGTACTGTACAGTGGTGCATTGAGAGTGCCCATTTTATTTCTTTGTCAACACTATCAATTTTCAAAAGATCTTTAATTTGGCAAATAAAAACCAGAGACTCAGTTTTGGTTTTGTTTGTGTTGCTGCCTATCAGTGAGACTGGACGACTCCCATCTTAGCCATTTGCGTATTGGACTTACCAGCCTTTGTTCATTTCATACCTTTTCCAGGGATATTCTTGAGATTGTCTCTCCCCCCCCACCCCCGGTACTGGGGATTGTACTCAGGACCCTGCACTTGCCAGGCAAGTGCTTATTCTACAGAGCTATCTCCCCATGTCATGTATTTCTTGATTGTGATTTTTGCTCCACTTAGATTTGTTCTTATATGCTGTTTTTCAGAGTACGAAGAGTATTCCTTTTAAACATAGACTATCCTTCAATTAAAAATGAGATTATTCTCTACCTCACTTTTCTTTTAGGTTTTCTTAGTTTTATGTGGGTGTCTGTTTTGTGTGTGTTTAGTCTTCCTGACTGTTGGAACCACCTGGACTTAATTGTTTTTAGAAATCCAAACCTAATTTTTTATTTTTAGTTCATTCCTTTTCAGTTACTCCAATGCCTCTTATACAGTAATCCTTCCATTGGTCATGATTTCTGACACTACTTTTTATAGATCATAATCCCTAATATACTCAGATGTTTTAGACCTTCTCTCTTGCTCAGTTGATTCATTTTCCATACCCAAATACAATACCCTCAAAGGGGTGATGGCTTTATGTTATGTTGTGCCTTCTCTTCTTCAAAAAAGATCTGTTGGCTATTTTTGTTTAATTCTCCTGGAGGTACCCAGAGGCACTTTATAATCATTTCGTAAAGTCTGAAAATGGGCCCATTGGGATTTCGATTATAACTGCATTCTATTTATTGATCATTTTGTAGCAAACTGACAGTTTTAATATATTAAGACTTCACATCCAGAAGCACAGTACATATAATCTAATTCACTCAAGCCCTTTGAAATTGCTTAGTAGAATTTTGTGGTTTTTCCTCTTATAGTTTCCCAACATGTCTTGTGAAAGTTCATCTTTGCAATTTAATCTTTTTTGGCTGCTTTTGTTTTAGAATGTGCTCATTTTCCCAGTATTTTTTGTATAGAGAGTTTCTATTCTTAAAAATATTTTTATTGAATTAAAATGGCACACTGTGTAAATGGTGTTCATTGAAAAAAAGTTACACAGTGCAGAAAAATACTGACTAGAAAAAAATATTCTGCCAAGGCCTCATCTCCTTGTTTGGCTGTCTTCAGCTCACTGTTGTTAATAATTAGACAACAGACAACCAACACTGATTTGGTCTAGATCTTTATTAAGTTGCATGTGTATATTCAACATAAGTGAGATCACACTATATGTCACAACACACATCTCTTTCTTGATTTACAATTTTATGATTCTCTGTTTGAGAATCCCTCTTTGGGTCCATCTCTGTTTTGTTTTCTCATTAGAATGGGTTGTAAGTCAGGATAGACACTCAGAAGTTGATTTGCTAGGTCAAGGGTTTGCGCATGTTTTCCCTAGTAGGTGAGACAGCAGAGGCTTGGTTCTTATTCATGCTGTGTGCCTGATGCTTCTGGGGGGATGTTCTGCCCAGCTAGTTCTGCAAAGGCCCAGGCTCCTGTGGAGGGTGCACTGTCTGAGGGGTGCCATGTGCAACTCAGCCTCGTCCGGTACTGTAGCAGGGAAAAGAAAGAGCAGCAAAGGAAATGTCCTCATCAGAAGTCACGTAGTTCTTCCATTACCCGCCCTCCTGACCAGGCCAGGATGGTGTGAACATAGCATGGCCTTGTGAACATTAATCTCTGCAATTTAAAGTGTGAATTCAGTAAATTTACAGAAAAAAGTAAATTTCTATACCTTATTTTTCTTGCTTGTTGCACTCGCTTAAGAATGCCAGTATTAGTGTTTTTTTTCTCCATAATTTTATTGAGAAACAAATAGCAGGGGGCCGG